TCTTTAGGGTTTAGGGTTTAGGGTTTAGGTTTAGGGTTTAGGGTTTAGGTTCAGGTTCAGGGTTTAGGGTTTAGGGTTTAGGGTTTAGGGTTTCGGGTGTAGGGTGTACTCTCTGGTGAAGTGTCGGCTATTTTTGTACCAGTGGCAAGGGTATTAAGATTGCCACTTTCTATACTTTCAGCATACACATGATGCCCAGACTTCGAGTACAGGAAGCATTCAGATGTAAACTCTTGGATGCCCAAACAAACTGCAAACACATGTTGATAGAAATGGGATCTCCTCCAAATATACGATCAAAGAAAAAGAACGAAGACCACCCAATATCAAAAGAAGTAGCTGTAATCAAGAAAGCCCAAGGACAAAAGGGGAAAGCCTTCAATGTCAGATAATGAGATCTCAGATTTAGGATTGTTGTCCAAAAGCTCCGATACCCTCCCACTATGACCAAGACCCCCCCTTTAGCTTTTCGCTTTGGAGCAGTTCAGTAGTTCTGTGTTCATCCTTGAGCGATGCAAAGCGCGCCTCCTGTTGCGAAGTCCATCCTTTGAACTCTGAACGCCCAGGCCCCCTAGGAGGATCCAAAAAAAGAGCCCCGAATTAGTACCCCATACTACTCTTGGGCCATGTCTAGGAACTCTTAAGCCTTAAGGGGATCTAACCCCAAAACCCGAACTGAACCTACCTTTTGGATCCCTGCGGGTCCTTCTTCGACATGGCCTCATCGGTAGAGGTGTCGGGGTCGAGGACCCTGGCACAGTCGCCCAGCATGGCCTGGTAGCTGGGTTTAGGGTTTAGGGTTTAGGGTTAGGGTTTAGGGTTTAGGGTTTAGGGTTTAGGGTTTAGGGTTTAGGGTTTAGGGTTTAGGGTTTAGGGTTTAGGGTTTAGGGTTTAGGGTTTAGGGTTTAGGTTTAGGGTTTGGGGTATAAAATGCACAAGCAGTGTACCCCTAAAACGATCATGTGATGGTTGGGTGGAGGCTTGAAGGCTCTTCGGTGTTCAGTTCTTTGTACAGTAACTGTTCTGGCCTTCAGGGTATGCCAGTGCACCTTGCTCGAGGTTTCGGGGCGGATGGGCACAGCTTCGCCCAAACAATCAGCACAACGGGGCTTCCGCTCAATCTCGAGATCAAACGCGGCCTATGCAAAGGAGCTTGGACTGCAATCTCAAGAGCTTAAGTTCAAGTAGGACTTTGCAAAGCAGTGCTTTGCGGTGAAGCCCTCATTCTTATGCACGCGTATCTTCAAGTCTCACTGTAGGTCATGTGCCTGCCCGTGTCTGGTCTGAAAAAGGTTCCTCTCGCTACCTGGGAAGACAAGGAAGAGGGGCCTCACATTGAATGATGCGCCAGACGCTGAAGCAGCAGATGGCTGAAACCACCAAGTAGCCTCAGCTGACTTAGGAGTTTGCTCGGGCTTTAGGGTTGCATGGGCTTTCGCGATCGAAGCCTTGAAGACAGTTCTAGTTCCGAGTGTTTGCAAGGTCGCGGACCTATGCTTCAGCCCCTGCGCCATCAACACTCCGACTACACCATGCAACCTACCCACCCAGCTTCGTTAGTCACACCTCGGAGCCCTAGACCCTGCATCCTAAACAAAAAGTCATACCACACCTTCCTTTTTCGTACCCTGTACTGAACATAAGTCTAATGAACATACTCTATGGGTATCCGAAACTACACTGAAGCTGCTATAGGAGAGGGGGTTTAGGGCTTTAGGGTGCATGGGTTAGGCGCCGTCGAAATGCCCAAACCTTGTCCTCCTGAACCCCTTCCCCTTCAAACCCTTGACACACCCAGGGACGTTTTTCTTTAGGGACTTCTGTAGAGGAGTAAGAGCTCGCAGGCTCTGCCATGATATAATACTACAGCGCACTAGAAAACCCTGGAAACCCTGGAATACACCAGAAGATGCCATGACAACACCACAATACACGATGATGTTCTACTATCGCTCTACTACTCTACTCTGCTCTCACTGTACTATACTATACTCTACTCTACTATCGCATGCCATCTTTGGCTATTTTTTTGAACTTCGGGGAACACCAGCAACCTGGCCTGGCACGGCGAAAGCGAGACCGACCGATCCAAAGACGTACCTTAGCCACTCGCAGTTCGAGCTTTTTGGGCTTACTAGACCCCAAAGTAACCTAGGAATAAAAAGGATGATTTTTTGGTATACAGGGGCTGATAAGGGACCCCAAACCTCAACAAGGGAACCAGGGCCTACGCTGGGTCCTAGTTTATTGAGGTTCAGGGTTTCGGGCCCTTGGTGGTTTAAGGATGTCTTGGCTGCGGGGCCAGGGGTGTGTCAAGAAGAGCTCAATCACATCCAAGCCGGCTGAAACAGGCTCAGAACTGCTTAGTCATCAGGATGTTGTTGGGACTGTTTCAGGCTTATAGGGGCCTGGGGCACATGACTGAGGGTCGTCAAGCCACGGCAAGGTCAGGACCCCGGCGCCCATCATGCCTGCTCCGGGAAACAGGTTTAGGGGTTAGGGTTTAGGGTTTGGGGTTTGGGCTTTAGGGTTCCAGTAGCAAGCTTAGCCAGTTTCGGCGCGTGTTCGTGGCGAAGTGCTGAAGCGCAAGTCATGCAAGCAGATGGTTCTCAGCTTCCAAGAATCTGCACGTCGTGGTTGGCATGATGAGTTCGTGAAGACAGAAACCTGAGCCGGCCCTTACACCCCAAACCCTAAACCCTAAACCCTAAACCCTAAACCCCTGAATCCCACGTCACCCTTTCCCAGAAGGATGCTGGCCTTTCAGGATGGCCGCCACCCTGAGGAGTTCAGGTTAGACACAGGCCCGCGCTTGCAGAGGTTTAGGGTTTAGGGTTTAGGGTTTAGGGTTTAGGGTTTAGGTTTTTTTAGTTTTTTAGGGTTTAGGGTTCGGGGCTGTGAGGAGAGTGTAGACTTCGGGAGTTTAGGAATTTCGGCGAGTCAGCCTCAACGCCCGAGATGTCTCTACAGACCCGTACTTTTCACAGCACCCAGGAGGGTTAGGGATTAGGGTTTAGGCTTTCTAGGGTTTAGGGTTTATAGGTTATAGGTTTAGGGTTTAGGGTTTAGGGCTTAGGGTTTAGGGTTTAGGGAACAAAATGGTAACGCCGAGTTGCGCCAGACGCGGCGACAGCCCGGGTCCCGACATGCTGGGAGGAGGCTTCAGGGCACGAGAGGTGCCATCAGTGCTTCGGCATCTCCCAGCGCAAGTTCAGGGGTTTGGGTACTTTTTTGGGGGGGTTAATCGTTAGGGTTTTGTGTTTAGGGTTCAGGGTTTAGGATTTAGGGTTTAGGGTTTCTAGGACTCAGTCGCTACCCTTGGGTCCAGTGCACTTAAACTCACTACTACGTCAGTTTGGGCATTGTTACTGTTGCCGATCGCTCCCGTTCGTCTTGAGCATGAGCGGAATGAGTTCCTACACTACTTCGTTCGCATCTCGGTGCACCATGAGCTGTCATTGCAGCAGGCGGGCACGTCCAGCTTCGTGGTGCACATGGCTGGGCAGCATGTTGTCGCAGATGCTTAGGCACGATCTTTGCTACCCAGGAAACCCCCGAGCTCCAGTGAACACACCTCCCTCCCGGGGCATCCCCCAGAACGCAATGTAGGGGGTTTTTTATTTTCTAACAGTATAATTAAAAAGGGGCCGTAAGAGAATACCAGTAGTAATTCTTCCGACCCCTACCGTATGCCAAAACCCTAAACGCTAACCCCTAAACCCTAAACCCTAAACCCACCTCTGCGCCAGGCCAGCGGAGGCCAAAGCTGCCACAACGACTTGGGCGCGCAGCCGAAGCTTGCGACCCATCCATCGGGGAGGCATGTCTTTGGAAGGCCAGGGATTTGCGTGAATGGTTTAGGGTTTAGGGTTTGGGGTTTAGGGTTTAGGGTTTAGGGTTTAGGGTTTAGGGTTTAGGGTTCTATCATCTGGGGTTCTAGGGTGCAGGGATTGGACGAGGACTCACTGGCCGACTGACGAGGGAAGGCTTGCAGGTCTATCATTGCTGCACACGTGTAAGTAAGCTCTCCAGCTGATCTCGCAAGCTATCACCTTTGTTCCGCTGACCCTGCACTCTCTGCAGTGTGGACACAGCACCAGCGTTCTAGCGACTATCTCCTCGTCTGTCGACATATCTCGCAGCCGTACCAACTATTTCAAGATGTTCGAGGGCATTTGCCAAGCGGAGCTGAGGAAGGGCGAGCGGTCATGTGAGGCGTGAGAGGTCGACAGCGCACGCGATCCAAAGCTACGCTACTTGGGTGCTGTACGCGCTATTTGGTTCCCCCACTATGGACCCTACTATTTTCGGGAACTGGGTAACCAAATCACCCTCATCACCCTCATTTAAACACTGCCCTTTTCAAATTTGTTTGATGAAACACGGCAGATGCCAGACACCCTCCAAGAAGTACCGACATCTCAACAATGTTTTTGGGCTTCGGGCTTATCACCTCTAGCCCTTTTTGCATCGAAACCCCTCCCTCTCTCTCTCTCTGCACGCATGGCCCCCCCCCAAGAGAGGAGGCCGCCCCTCCCTCTCTCTCTGTCTGTCTCTCTCTGTCTGTCTCTCTCTCTCTCTCTCTCTCTCTCTCGGGGTTAAAAGGGCTTAGGGTTAAACATCCTGCGTGGTATCCACTGGGGCCTCTCTTGGGATCATTGGACTAGCAAGGCAGAGGTTTTGTCTCCAGCCACCCCGCTGACTGTGTGCCCACACAACTTGCCATCAGCCCTTTTCCCTACACCCTAAGGGTTTAGGGTTTAGGGTTTAGGGTTTAGGGTAACCTCCATCCGAGGCCATGGCCACCTGACGGGAGTTGGAGAAGAGTGCGCTCCGCGCGACAGCAGGGCTAGGTCCACCCACCAGCCGTCATCAAGCACCCGCAGTCTTACAGCACTAGGACCCCAAACGGGGCGTTGCTCCACAATGGTATGGGCCCAACCCTAAACACTAAACCCTTTTGGTACCCTGAAACCCATCCCCACAATGCCCCGCTGCGCCTTCGCGAGGGCCAAACTCCGCTGCGAGGCTACGAGTTGCTGCTCTTTCTCGTGGAGTGCCTCCGCGGGCCCAGGGTCGCCGTTTTTGTCGGGTGTTGGGGCTTAGGTAGGGCTGCGAGTCTACACTGCTTCAAGGCATGGTTCTGAGAGGACAGCTGTGTTCAAGCATGGGCAGATCGTGGAGGTGCGCAGGAACTGCTCGTCCACTTTTCCACATCAAGCAGGCTCCGAGGTCGATCTAGCTGGGCTCATCCTGCCCTCACAAGAGACGTTTTTGTTGCATTGATACTGTGACTTGTCCATAGATTCACAAAAAGTGCCGCCAGCCACACGACGGGTACGGATTCCTATAGTACTTCTCATGGTACTTTTCCACTGCTTTGCAGAGTCACGGCTCAAGCCGCGCGTCACGGCACTGCAGCCACGGCGATGAACTCCTTGAGCTTCTCTGTGTCATGCCGGGCGGGGTCCTTCACTTCTCCACAGAAGGCATACCAGGTCTCGTTCTTCTCCTGGCCGGACTTTTGGAAGGCCTTCACGCGGTCAACCAGGGCTGCCTTCTCGGGGTCAAGCTTCAGCTTCTTCTGAGTCCGTCCGTACCAAGCCATCATCTGGTGCATCATCTTGCCGTGGCTGTTGGGGTTGGGTGGTCGGCCGGTCCAGGCAGACACATGGACCGACTTGCCTCCCAGCACAGCAATGGGCTAAAATAAGAAGTTCTTATGACCAAGGACACGCTCATGGCATGATGGCACAGTACAGAATGAGCCCCCTGGATCTGCGTGATACAGAGTGCGGTGTAGTACGAGCAAGTTCCACCGCACGTCAGCAAAGGCAGACGTTGGGTAATTTGCGTGTTTCTGGGTCAGTCTGTTGGTGGGCGTTGCCTTGCAATTGAAACCATATAACAATGCTGTAGATGTCTCAAGCCTGCGCAGCCCCATAGCTGAGCCTATGATGCTGTCTAAATTCTGGTCCCCCTTGGGCCGGCCTTCCATTGAGCTTCCATCGAGGCTGGTAATGGCTTGAAGGGCTTCTTGTGGAGTCCTGTAGCGCACGAAGCCGATCCCTCGGGACTGCCCCCAATCATTGTACAGCACGTCGCAGTACTCAATCTCACCGGCTGTCCTGACACAAGTGAGGATACAGAACTGCAGCTTGAGATTCATGCATCGAGTTCTCCGACCCCACTAGCAGACCTCCAGTCCTCATGTAGTCCTGGAGCTCTTGCCACTCCGCGTACTTGGGAATGCCGGCGACGAAAACGCAACGTCCATCATCTGCCACCTGATTCGCCATTAGCCGACTCCTCCCACGAACTCTAGGCTGTCAAATCCGCTGCAGGTTTTCTTGAGCCAGCACAGCTCCGGACGTGTGATTCCTGTGAAGTCTCTGCAAGCTCGATTCAGACCAGTCCCGTCACATGTCATGAGCAGCGCGGAAGAGTTTTGCAAGAGAGCAGGGCTTGCAGCAACAGCTCATGAGATTCATGTCCTTGTTGGGTTCTTGCATGCACCAAACGCTCATCATGCTGGTCTTCATTTTCCCACGACGCCTGCTTCAAGATCGACGCAACTGGGGCGTACGACGAGCCACAGCCCCTTGTCAGAGTCTATGTCTATTCATATAACTCTCCTGCTTCACCTGCCGGCAATGCCACAATGCTGACTGACACATGCTGACAGCGCATGGGCTCTATGATGCCTGCCACCGCGCGGCAAAAACGTGTTAAGGCGCATCAGAATTATGGCACTGCGTGCAAGGTGACAAACTCCTTGAGTTTTTCTATGTCGTGTCTGGCGGGATCCTTCACTTCGCCACAGAAGGCATACCAGGTCTCCTTCTTCTCCTGGTCTGTCTTTTGGAAGCTCTTGACCCGCTCCACCAGCGCAGCCTTCTCCGGGTCAATCTTCAGCCTGGGACTCTACCTACCCATATCTCTGAGCCAACTACCCTGAATTCGGAAGCACAACCCCAGAAAAAATGTAGCTCAAGAGAGTCTGAGGAGCTTCTTCTGTGCCCCTCCGTACCAAGCCATCATCTGGTACATCATCTTCCCAGGGCTGTTGGGGTTAGGTGGTCGACCAGTCCATGCAGACACCTGCACCGACTTGCCTCCGGGCACTGCTGGGGTTTAGGGTTTAGGGTTTAGGGTTTAGGGTTTAGGGTTTAGGGCTTAGGGCTTAGGGTTTAGGGTTTAGGGTTTAGGGTTTAGGGTTTAGGGTTTAGAGGCCGAGTGTGATAGATACCAACTACTTCAGCTTCAGGGCTTAGCCAAGTGCCCTTTGATTCAGCAGCTGCTTAAGGCTGCACCCTATGCAGGGCTGCACCATGCTGGTGCCAGGGTGCTCTTGATGAGGCTACTTGGTCTTCGTGATGCTGCGCGACATGCTGCTTTGCGTGGCCATGCTAGACGTTAAGACTACCCAAAGCAAGCTGGCAAATTGAGGCCATGGCCTTCCATCGAACTTCCATCGAGGGTGGCAATGGCCGCCTGGGCTTCCGCTTGGGTCTTGTAACGCACGAAGCCGATACCGCGCGGCTGGCCCCAGTCGTTGTACAGCACGTCGCAATACTCAATCTCCCCGGCGGTCCTTCATACAGGCACGTCTTTGGAGACATCGTAAGTCATCGCAACACAGCGGCAACATGCCCAAGCATTGTTCAGAGGGCCAGAAGACTCTCTGTCCTCATGTGGTCCTTTAGCTCTTGCCACTCTGCGTGCTTTGGCATGCCCCCAATGTACACGCAGCGCCCATCATCTGGGACCTGACCCGCCATCGCAGAACTTCCCCACTCGCCCTGAGCCATCAAATTGACTGCGGGGCCAGAGCAGCTTGAGATCGAGACGCTGGGCATTCCCCTGCTAAGCTACTGTCTCCATCTGCCAAGCACGGCCACATTCTACACCGCAAATGTCCGCGCTTCCATGTGCAGGTTCTTGTGCGCGTGCTTCACCGGCGCCTTCTTTACCCGCCCTCGGTCAGCTTCCAGATCGCACGCTCGCCGCTGAGCCTGGCAGTTCGACTAGCAAACCCCTCGTTCCGGCATTCGAGCTGCGCGCGCAATGCTGTCAAGGGCTGCTGTTGGAGATCTGCGACACCAATGATGCTGTGATGACCCGTCCTCCTTGCGCGCAAGGCATGTGTCTTCCAGCTCCTCGATCGGCGCTGACTCTACATCCTAAACCCTAAACCCTGAACCCTAAACCGTGAAAAACACACCGGTGAAAGCCGTGTCATGCCCTGCCAAGAACCCCTTTGTGGGGGTGTTCGGAATTGGGGTCCCTTATGGGGGATCCTGATTATCAGGAACCCTACTAGTTGGGGGACTCTATTTGGGGTCCTAAACCCTAAACCCTAAACCCTAAACCCTAAACCCCGTTTGGGGGACCATATTTGGGGTCCCTTAGACTCGTAAACCCCCCCATGTCACGTCTCCTTCTGCAGCTGCTCGATCTTGCGCTCCTGGCTCTGCAGCTGCACCTTCAAAGAGCCCTTTTGCAGCAGGACTCCTCAACCTCGCCCTTGCTGGAAGCCCCTAAACCCTAAACCCTAAACCCTAAGCCCTAAACCCTAAACCCTAAACCCTCAACCCTAAACCTTAAACCCTCAACCCTCAACCCTAACCCTAAACCCTAAACCCTAATCCCTGCAACCCTGCAACCCGAAACCCTAAACCCTGCAACCCGAAACCCTAAACCCAGGTCTAGCGAAGACTGCGGGATGCTTGCGGGGCCCAGGCATGCGCACTCGCCGCCGCCTGCCAGACATGCTGTGGCTGTGGGTATCTCAGGCGCCTCCACCACGTCTGTGCGGGAAAAGGGCGGAGCTAGAACGGCCTACCCTAAACCCCAAACCCTAACCCTAAACCCTAAACCCTAAACCCTAAACCCTAAACCCCAAGCCCACCTTCTTCGCTGCCAGCAGATCCGCCGCCCGCGCCTGGCATCACAAAGCTGGAGCTGTGGGCTCCAAGCCTTTTTTGCAGCTGTTTAGGGTTTAGGGTTTCGGTTTAGGGTTTAGGGTTTAGGGTTTAGGGTTTAGGGTTTAGGGTTTAGGGTTTAGGGTTTAGGGTTTAGGGTTGAGGGTTTAGGGTTTAGGGTTTAGGGTTTAGGGTTTAGGGTTGAGGTTTGGGTTGGGTTTAGGGTTTAGGGTTTAGGGTTTTAGGGTTTAGGGTTTAGGGTTGAGGGTTTAGGGTTTAGGGTTTAGGGTTTAGGGTTTAGGGTCTAGGGTTAGGGCTTAGGGCTTAGGGTTTAGGGTTTAGGGTTTGGGGTTGAGGGTTTAGGGTTGTGTGCTTGTTCCGGCCCCTAGAGTACAACCGAATCATATCGCAGTGAGGCTCCAAGGCGTCGTGGGCAAGTTGCGAAGCCCTGTCCAGCCCTTCAACCACAGATCTGGAAGTCCTCGACACGAGCATCGGAGCCCTAAACCCTAAACCCTAAACCGTAAACCTTAAACCCTAAACCCTAAACCCTAAACCCCATTTTGGAACCCAGACTCTGCATGTCAGGCCCTAAACCCTCAAGCCGACCTCTGCTTGGACCCTCCTCTTCTCCTCGTCCAGCAAGCCTGGCGCAGTATGTCAGGAGTCGCTGTGTGCACCTCTCATTTAGGGTTTAGGGTTTAGGGTTTCGGGTTCAGGGTTGCAGGGTTTAGGGTTTAGGGTATCACGGGGGCATGGATCAGAAGGAGATTGCCTAAACTCAACTCGAGCTGTGTTTTGTCGAAGTGCCTTCTTCTGAATCTCACGTGCCCTTTCTGGCATTCCGAAAGACTGACCGGAAGAAAGAACCCTAACCCCTCAACCCTCGGCATCTTGGCCAGGCGAACAGCCAGGTGTACAGAACAAGCTATTCCATCCCCTTGTTGGATACGACAAAGAACCTTGAAGCCTGAAGCCCGAAACCCTAAACCCTAAACCCTGTGCATCATTGGGCCCTGGCGGCGTCTCAGTTGCTCTTGCTCGCCGTCCTGTTACGGTGCTCAAGGCTTCGAAGATGTCGCAAAAGAAAACAGGGCAGACCCCTAAACCCTAAACCCCCTAAACCCCCTAAACCCCCTAAAACCCCTAAACCCCCTAAACCCCCCTAAAACCCCCTAAACCCCCCTAAAACCCCATAAACCCCTTAACACGCCAAAAGGCCCACGCCCCAAATGCATGCGTTTTGCGGGGCGGCCTGGCACAGGATCTTGTCCCGGTCAGCCCGAGGCGTCATCGAGTTGGGTCTGTGGTTCTCCTTTGCCTCGAAGCCACAGTGGTTTAGGGTTTGGGGTTTGGGGTTTGGGGTTTAGGGTTTAGGGTTTAGGGATTAGGGGTTCAGAAGCCATTAGGTGGTTCGCAATTAGGGGTACCTTATTGGGGTCCTTATTATAAGGTCCTACTATTTGGGGGTCTATTTTAGGGGCCCTTATTCTAAGGTCATACTGTTTGGGGGTCTATTTTAGGGGCCCCTGATTTTCGTAAACCCCCTCACAAAGGGCCTTAATGCGTAGGTCCGTGTATTAAGGGGGTGCTTCAGGGCATTCAGAGTATTTCGGGTTGAAGTTTAAGGGTCCAGGGATGCTGCAACACTCCAGGGATGGGCGTGTGCCTTTAGGGTTTAGGGTTTAGGGTTTAGGGTTCAGGGTTCAGGGTTTAGGGTGCTTTTCAAGTGGTTTCTAGGCTGGAAAGGGCCCTCTTGACAGAGAAGCCCCAACACCAAGGCGATCATCGTCTTGTTTCTTGTGGCTGCGAGCGCACTACTCAGACAACACCCGAAACCCTACACCCTAAATCTTGCACCCCAAACGTTACACTCTGTTTTGCACCCTGGACTGTCGAACTTGACATCTGGGCACCATGCAGCGGAGGATGCCCGTCGCAAAGACTTGCGCCTTTCGCCTTCCACCTCTGCGGGTCTTGGGGTTTAGGTTTTTGTTAGGGGTTTGGGATTATATAGGGTTTCAGGTTTATTGTTTTGTTAGGGTTTAGGGTTCAGGGTTCAGGGTTTTTAGGGTTTTGGGTGGTTTTTGGCATGCAGGGTTTAAGGCTGGGAGCGTGCTATGGGGCTTGGGGGGGGGGGGTTCAGGGTTTAGGGCTATAGGGCTATAGGGCTATGGGGCTATAGGGCTATAAGGCTATAGGGGTATAGGGCTATAGGGCTATAGGGCAATAGGGCTAAAGGGCTATAGGGCTCTAGGGCTATAGGGGCTATAGGGCTATAGGGCAATAGGGCTATAGGGCTATAGGGCAATAGGGCTAAAGGGCTATAGGGCAATAGGGCTATAGGGCTATAGGGCTATAGGGGCTATAAAGTCTAGAGCTCAGGGCTTAGGGTTGGTTAGGGCTTCGGGTTTGGTTTCGGCTTTGGGGCTCACGCCTGCGGCTTCGGTGTGGCGTCCATCTCATCGAAGATGCTGAAGCTGTTCCCCGGGGCTTCAGCAGACTCCTGTCCAATAAAGGTGTAGGGTTTAGGGTTTAGGGTTCAGGGTTCAGGGTTGAGGGTTTAGGGCTTTGGGGGTTTAAGGCTTTAAATTTTAAGGTTCTCCGCCAGATTCAAGTCACATAGGATCACGTAACGGAGAACATCAAAGACAACCACAAGAGCAAGGGCAGGGGGGACAGAGGCCGGTCAGGTTTTCCTGAACTACGGGGTTTAGGGTTTAGGGGTTAGGGGTTTTAGGGTTTAGGGTTTAGGGTTTAGGGTTTGTTGGCAGAATCCAAACCATTACCCACGCGTAGAACCTAGGATTAGAAATGCCATATGCTGAGAAAACCTCAGACACACACGCACAGGCACGCTTGACCTAAGCAGCGCCCACATGGTGCCAGTCACAAGACGCCGGGGTGTTCCTTGCAAACCTTATGAAGATCTAACCAGAGTCACAGCGTTCTGCGGGACAGTGCCGGCCCCAAAGAGGATTCGAGGAGTTTTGCGATGTCAACTCCGCAACATCGACCTTTCACTTCTCTCTTTTGAAAACCTACCTTGTAGAGGCCTGAACAATAAAAATAGGGTCTTGGGGGTTCTTATAGTATCACGATAAAGACCCCTATAGTACCTTGTAGGCCCCGTTTGAGGCATGGACCCTGTGCCCTCGCAGCTCCCGACATGGAAAAGTGGCCGCTTGTGTGTGTGTGTGTGTGTGTGTGTGTGTGTGTGCGCGCGCGCCGACCCCTCTCCCAAGCAGCTGTAACTGTGGGTTGCTTGCATCTGTCAGCACCACTACTACTTGCTCAAGACCCCCCCCCCCCCCCACACACAAAAACTAAAAAAAAGAAAAAACACACACACACACACACACACACACACACACATACAATATTCTTCCTTATGACGGCAACAGAGGGATGACTGTCAATGATAATGATCCCTATGTTGCCCGCATAAGGAGGAATAATGCCTTCTTTTCTTTTATTTTATTTGTTTGTGTGTGTGTGTGTTTTTTTTTTTGGGGGGGGGGTTCTAAGCAAACAGTAAGTCACTGGGATCCGGCTTGAAAGGGATCTTTAGGGTTTCGGGTTTAGGGTCCAAGGCACAGGACGCTCAGGAAGGCAGAAGATGTGCTGCACTGGAAGATTTAGATCGCCTTCGAGCAACTAGACCCTTGGTGCAGCATTCCTCTGTGCAGAGTTCAAGAGCAAAACCGACGGCACTATGTGCCAGCATTAACCGTGCAGATCATCATGCATCCGCGTGAGAACCTTGTACAAAGTGGCCACACGTGCACAGGGAAAGATCAAAGGCACAAAACGGCTGAGTCGAAATGGCATGTATTGACTTGAGGGGTTCGAAGGTGTTTGGTGGCATTGCACTTGCTTCACGACTCATCTGCCAACATGGACGCTGAATTTACATGACTGGCGGCAAGCTGTCCATGAAGCGCTCAGTCGCGGGTATCACCACGGCGCGGTCGTCCATGGTGGTTGGGATTTCGTACGAACTTGGTCGACATGTGAGCAACACCGACGACACCCTACGGATCCTGCATGACACCGGCATACGACACAACGCCTGCGTGTAGCCGTCACAAGCGGCAGATCCCTGGTGCCAAGGCACGACATAAAACCACATACTGCTAGTGCCAAGGATAGACACTCACACACACACACACACACACTCTCTCTCTCTCTCTCTCTCTCTCTCATCTCAGGCATGTCATTTCCCCACTGCATCTCGTGTAAGTCGAGTGGAACAAGCCTGCGCAGACAACCTGCTGGGGCGGATGCCCGGGACCAATGGCGCTTTCCTCTCCTTTGCTGAAGCGCGCAGATGACATCCTGCTCACAGCGGCGCCAGGGTTTCCGCAAGCAATGAACTGCAACGATGCAACGGCCTTGACCAGGTGGACATACTCGGGGTCGGCCCCTTGCACTGCAGACACAGAGAAAGCGTTTCAGAAGAAAGTAGGCCAGTCAGCAAGCAACCACCCAGCAAGCAAGCCGGGCTGCCCAGCCTACGTTACTACAGCAATTTCTTTGCAGCTGGCGGCGTCTGCCGCTGAAGAAATAAGCACAACAACGCATGTATGGAGGTTTGCGAAAATGATTACGGGACCCCCCAAATAATGGGTTCCGCTTTTAACAAGGACCCAAAAAGGGTACCCCTAATTTCCGAAACCCCTGCGAGGGCCTGACGAACACAACGGTGTGGCACGAGCAGCAGCTCAGGGGGTCCAGGAACGGCTAAGCACTCAGCCGCTCCTTTTGAGCCCAACTGCTCCGTCAGGGCACTGTTTTAGGGTTCAGGGTTTTGTTTGTTCTTCTTGCGACCTTGTTGTTTGTTTAGGGTTAAGGGTTTAGGGTTTATAGTGAAAGAAAGCAACCGACGCATCGAGGTTTCATGAAGGTGGGCCCAGGCTTGGTCCGCTTCGTGGGTGTCGCTTCGTTTATCTCGTTTCCTTTGCTGCGTTGTTCGTGAGATTCGAAGCCGAGCAAACGACATGCAGCTACATAAAGGAGATCCTCGGGCCACTTTTGCCTCCCTGTAGAATGCTGCACTGACGGCACCGTCCGCTTGTCTTGCAAAGGCAAGGATGTGGAGCCTGTCCTCCACAACCCTGCCTCTGCGATTAAACCACTCAGCAGGCCCACACCTGTGAGCGATCACGCCTTGACAACCCTTCGAGGGAATTAATTCGCATTGCCCCTGTGTGTGCAAGAGGCCGCCTATCGCGTGCGCAGAGCGCTTGCGAAACCAAGACAGCAGGCGAGCATTTGGGCACTCATGACAAAAGCGGTTTGGCACTTCGAGGAAGTTGTCTACAAAACCCTCCTTCAATTTCGCCCGGCTCGAGATGTACCCTTCTGTGACGCGTTGTCAACAAATACCCAAGTGGCTGCGGTTGAACACCACGAAAAGAGCTCAACTGCTGTGGTCTAGTCGTGTCTAGTCTAGAAACTATCAGTCTTAGTTTTGTTTCTAATAAATGTATATATATATATATATATATATATAATTATATATATATATATATGCATTATATACAGTTGAGCTTTAAAAAAAACTCCTGTACAAGGCAGGCTGTGCCTTCAGCACAAGGCCTGAGACTGTATCTACGCTCCAATCACGGCGCAGTGGCACCCCAAACCCGAACCCAGGAATCTTGCAGGGGAGTTGCGGTTGGACCTTGCACTGCATCCCTGTCGCTCCACTTTATGTGCCTACTTCTGCTCTTCGTCGACTACGACAAGTACGACGTCTGCTGCCCAGGATTACTGGTGCTACCACACCAGTACTACAAAGCTACTGCCGCCTGCTTCGGCACGACCTGCTGCACCTGCTCCCTGCCACTACCTCACTACCGCTGAGCAACCACCACCACCGCCACCACCACCACCACCACCACAACACAACACAACACAACACAACACAAAACCTGGAAGTAGAATCCCCGTCGGCCCACCTACAGGCCCCCCTGCAAGCTCCCAGATTCCGCTGAAGGGCTTCCTTGCGGATACTGGGGGCAGACCGAAGCTTCCGGCCCGGATCTGAAAGGGCAGCCGTAGATCCAGCAGCCGTTCGCCTCACCACATGGGTGGCAGGCCACCTCCAGGTAGGGTTATGTAGGGTTCAGGTCGTTTCTTGGGAGCAGGGGATTCAGGCAGATTTGCGCTACCTCCTTGGTCCTGGACCTCTTTGTGCTGATTCGTGCCTAGGGGATCATGCTGGAGGCTTGGACGAATGTACCTGACGCTTCCAGCCTCACCTAACGACTCTCGGCGTCGCCCCTGATTCCTTGAACAGCCATTGCCGTCACACTGTACAACCTGGAGAAACGCCGCAGCATGTGCCTTTTCAACCGGCTCTGCGTATGTGCGACTTGTCAGAGTCAGGGCCCTGTAAAGGTTCAAACGATGGAAAAGCCTGTGGCTCGGCATGGACATCTCATGACGAGCAGCCGTAGCACACAGGCCACCTCATTCGGTAACCTGCACGCGGCTCGCACCAGGTGAGCAGTTCTCCATTTTACGGGCCGGCATCCCCCCGAAAAGCCAGGGCTCCCCGTTTGACCCGAAGCTTTTTCAGTTCTGGGCCTAGGATTTGTGAAGTTGAGCGGTTTTTTGTTCTTGCGGAAACCCTAAACCCTAGCCCTAAACCCTAAACCCTAAACCCTAAACCCTAAACCCTTATTTGGGTTGAGGTGTAGGAGGCAGGGACTTAGGGGTTTTAGCTGGAGCCCTGGGGCTTCGGTCGCCGCTTCCGCGTGCGCTCAAGTGGCGAGGGCCCTGCCGTGTGGTTGGCCTGGTTGTCGACAGGGGCGAGTTCCCACCTCATTGCGGGGGTTTAGGGTTTAGGGTTTAGGGTTTAGGGTTTAGGGTTTAGGGTTTAGGGTTTAGGGTTTAGGGTTTAGGGTTTAGGGTTTAGGGTTTAGGGTTTAGGGTTTAGGCATATTGTAAAAGAATAAAACAGGATTTGCCTTTGCGGAACAATGAAACACTCACTCCCTGATCCCCATTAGTTCCCCATGAGCCCCTCAACAAAACCTGATATGGGGTAACCATGGGCCGCCCTGTTTTGGGCCCTTGTTACAGTCTACCCCTTGAAGTGGAGCGTGCCAAAATGGCACGATCACTCGGCAGGCTGTGTTTGGCTTTGCGCAGGGTTCATGGGTTGATAGAGGACGGGTGAAGGGTTTAGGCGAAAAAAGGGTTTACATGTCAATAAGCGAGGGCAAGACTTTGGTTGAACAAGATGTAGCCACTGTAGCCTCGACAGCCTCCCCACAAGAAAGCCAAGCTTCGGTGCCATTCCAGCGAGCGATAGGGCATCCTCCACATCTCGCATCGCCGAGGATGCCGGTACATTGCCATCCGGTGTCAAAAGCATACCTGGATCACTACCCCACAGGATGTCAGAAAGGAAGCCAGCTGCACTGGCAACGGTTGCATTCTGCAATGTAGAGATGGAATTATTGCAACCCTTCGCAACCCTTCAAGTGAGGACTTCTGACAAACTTGCATCTGATGCCAACGTGGCACTTCCGCGATATGCTTGCCCTGCATGAGCGGCCACACCGGCAAAGTAGAGAACCATCCACTGTAAGTCCCGGTCTGCACCTAGCAGGTACCAGTGCTCTTCTAGCTTGATGCCGCTGTCGGACGCCCGGAAGAGCCAATGTCCAGCATCTTCCAGCGGTTTCACGAGGTACGTCCGTGTTTTCCAGGCATCCTTTCCGTCCCGTCCTTCGGCAAGAAACACCGCATGATAGAGGAAGCGCTGCTTTACATGGCGCCAGATCTGATACTGAAGCCTAAATTGCGCGTATGCCTGGCTGGAGGAGGCTGCAACAATCCAGCTGTACTTTTTCTCCTTGTTCTTCCTGTGCCCGATCAGTATGTCATTTGCCACTGGGACGGTGAGCTTGGCGAAACGGTAGTTATCCATTGGCTTGACTTCAGGTAGGGAAGGGGGAAGCGTGTGAAAGTTCATGACATTCCTTAGCCCCGGGTCTGCACTTAAATCCCGATGTGAGCACACAGCAAACAAACAGGAAGGGCTGTCTTCAGTCGGAGGATCTGTTTCTCAAGCGCGCACTCAGAAAACTTTCCAATCGCGGGGACGTCAAACTTCAGCAAGCATCGATAGGCACAGGTCTGGTCGTCGAGATGGCAGAGGGCAATGCAGAACAGCCCTTGGAAGCCTCGGAGGGAAACCAGACTTCCCTCCTGCACCCCCCAACTACCCTTTACTGAAGGGGGGCTTATATACGGGGTGCTGGCTGGCTGCAGCATTTAGGGCCGATGGCGAGGCCTTGCCCCCATCAGACCCCCCCCCCCCAGCATCCGAGTGCAACGGGTGCGTAAGGCTGGGGTGGGTGTGCGTGCGGGCGTGTGCGTGTGTGGTCACGTCTTCGGCATCATTTGCTTTCCCACCCCCACTCTCACTCCCACGCTCTTCATCCCCACCCCACACTCATACCCACTCATACCCACGCCCACGCCAACGCTTACTCTCACTCTCCCTCTCAGTCTCACTTCCCGTCACTCGCTCGCTCTCCCTCCCTCTCCCTCCCTCTCCCTCCCTCTCTCTCCCTCTCTCTCCCTCTCTCTCCCTCTCTCTCCCTCTCTTTCGTTCTTCTTCTTCTTCTTTTTCTTCTTCTTCTTATTCCCGAAAGCATCGCGAAGGGTTCTTCCGTGCGGAGCCCTCTGACCCAACAACATAGACTGAAGTGCACAGAGGTGAAGTGCATAGAGTGAAGTGCACAGAGTCAAGTGCACAGAGTGAAGTGCATAGTGAAGTGCATAGAGTGAAGTGCACTGCACAGAGTCAAGTGCATAGTGAAGTGCATAGAGTGAAGTGCATAGAGTGAAGTGCACAGAGTGAAGTGCATAGAGTGAAGTGCATAGAGTGAAGTGCAAAGAGTGAAGTGCATAGAGTGAAGCACAGAGTGAAGTGCATAGAGTGAAGTGCATAGAGTCAAGTGCATAGAGTGAAGCGCATAGAGTCAAGCGCATCGAGTCAAGTGCATAGAGTGAATTGCATAGTGTGAAGTGCATAGTGTCAAGTGCATAGAGTGAATTGTGCATAGAGTGAATTGTGCATAGAGTCAAGTGCATAGAGTGAATTGTGCATAGAGTGAATTGTGCATAGAGTGAGTTGCATAGAGTGAATTGCATAGAGTTTAGTACAAGTTAATAGAAATTACGAGATTTACGTAGAATTTAGTAGACCTTCGTACCCAGTCCTAGATTTCTCAATTAAAATTACTCTTTCTAAGGCGGCGGGCTGGGTTGACATCGCCAATCGGGATTGCAACCCTCTGCGGGTTTCGGCGTGGTCGCGGTGCTAAAACCGTCGTTTTGTTTTACGTTTCTTTCTGTGCGCGGACAACCCTCTGCGGGTTTCACCGTGGTCGCGGCGCTAAAACCGTCGTTTTTTTTTTTTTACGTTTCTTTCTGTCCGCGGACAACCCTCTGCGGGTGATCGCCGGGTCGCGGCGCTAAAACCGTCGTGTTTGGTACTTTTTTTCGCGCGCGCAGACACCCTCTGCGGGTTTCGGCGTTGGCGCGGTGCCAAAACCGTCGTGTTTTTGCGTTTTTTGACATACAAACGTAACCCCTCTGCGGGTTTCGACGTTGGCGCGGTCCCAGAACCGTCGTGTTTGTGCGTCTCTTGACACACAAACGTAACCGTCGCGGTGCCAAAACCGTCGTGTTTTTGCGTTTTTTTCGACTTTTGTAGTACAGACGTAGTACGCCGGGGACTTCCGTGGTTGTTTTTTTGCGACTTTAGTAGTACAGACGTAATGCTCCGGGACTGCCGTGGCTTGACTCTTGTAGTACAGCCGTAGTACGCCGGGGACTGCCGTGGCTGGAAAGTCGACTTTGCTAGTACAAATCTAGTACGCCGGGGACGCCCGGAGCTGATGTGGCTGGAAAGAAAGTCGACTTTTGTAGTACAGACGTAGTACTGCGCGGACACGCGGAGCTTCCGTGGCTGGAAAGTCGATTTTTGTAGTACAGACGTAGTACGCCGCGGACACGCGGAGCTTCCGTGGCTGGAAAGTCGACTTTTGTAGTACAGACGTAGTACGCCGCGGACACGCGGAGAATAGCACGGTAACGGACATCTGGGTGCTTGAAAAACACCGCAAATAGCACGGTAACGGACATCTGGGCGCTTGAAAGCACCGCAAATAGCATGGTAACGGACTTCCGCGCGCGTGAAGACACGGGGATGTTTTTGTCTTTTCTCGTCGAAACCTCGCAAATATCGTGGGACTCGAACTCCGGGATGTCGAAACCATCGCAAATATCGTAAAACCACGCAAATCGCGTGGGACTCGAATTCCGGGATGTCGAAACCCTCGCAAATATCGTGGGACTCGAATTCCGGGGCCTCGAAAACCTCGCCAAATTCCGGGGCGTCGAAACCCTGGGAAATATCGTGGGGCTCGAATGTGAATGCCATGCAGTGGAAGTGCATAGAAGTGCAGTGCACAGAGTCTAGAACCATATAAGTGCATACAGTCCAAGTGCATTCAGTTCAAGTGCATATCAGCCTCTTGGACAGTTCTGGTCGAATGCATTTGCTCAAGTGCATAGAGTTCAACAGTGTCGAGTTCAAGCCCGTTAACCTCATATGTAGAGAATTCCAATGAAGTGCATAGAGTTGACCACAAGTGCAGGGCATTCAACTCAACACAAACTTGAATGCCATGCAGTTCAAGTGCATACACGTCCAGTATACCAGTGCAGTATACAAGTGAGTATGCAACCATGTAAGTGCATACACTTGTCCAAGTGCATACAATTCGAGTGCAAGGAGTCAAGTGCATGGAGTCAACGCACGGCAAATCGATGCTTTCGGGCCATCCCTCTTCTAGTTATTCTTCTTCTCCTTCTTCTTCTTCATCTTCTACTTCTTCTACTTCTACGGGGCATGAGGGGCCCGGGGACCCCCCGCGCGCGGGCGCGCCCAGTCCACTCCCCTCTCTCTCCCTCTCTCTCCCTCTCTCTCCCTCTCTCTCCCTCTCTCTCCCTCTCTCTCCCTCTCTCTCCCTCTCTCTCCCTCTCTCCCCCTCTCTCTCCCTCTCTCTCCCTCTCTCTCGCTCTCTCCCTCTCTCTCTCTCTCTCTCTGTCTCTGTCTGTCCCTCACTTGCTTGCTTGCTTGCAGTGCGCTTGGCTCCTCGTAAGAGGCCGCCCCAAGGGGCACGCTCCACCGAGACTCTCTCTCTCTCTCTCTCTCTCTCTGCTTTGGAAGGCTTTCTGCTCCTTTCTTCGTCCATCCTGACTTCTTTTGTCACAAGTTGGGCCAAGGCACATTGAGGATTCACCATGCAAGCGGCTGTCTGTAAGCCACAGAAGACACCGGTGCGGGCCATGGATGCTGCATCCGGGTGTGGCATCTGCATCTCCACAGACCTCAGGGGTGTCACGTGCTGGTGCATGAGCAGGAGGATCGCCTGAATCAAGTCATCCTCTGACTGCCGATGGAGCAGTCGAAGCACGCGGCGCCGTCGCTTTCGACCCTGCCTTGCCTTGGGCTTGGTTGTGGAATACCAGTCGTTGGTAAGGAGCTCCTGAGATGGAGCGGAGGTGTTCACGAACAGCCGGGTCGAAATGGCGTGGAGCATGTTTGTCTTCGCCTGCTCTGTGCATGGTGAGGGCAGCCTCTCCGGCAAGTCCAGGCCAAGCACGAGTGAGATGTTGGCGGGCGCTCGCCTCCCAAGACTTTGGCAGAACCGGGATAACGACATGACCTGCAGCTCTGCCTTGGAGTCCAGGTCCCAAGCCACCCGCCGGCTTATTTGCTCACCCACCACAGGCCAGGTCGCGGGCACGATGCCCTTTGCCAGGGCAGGCGTCCCCCGGTCCGGATACACCAGGATGGCCGTGGGGAGCTGCGCTTCCTCTGGGCTTGACAAGCTCAGGCCACTGAGACTTAGGGCCCAGCTGTCACAGATTCGGCCCCTGTCACAGGCCTTGGATTCTGTGGCCCCTTTTGGCTTGGGGCCCCTCCATCGATTCCACAACGAGACACTGAGCACTGCCGCCCACACCAGAAGGCCATTGCGGCGCACTTTCCGCATCCTCTACTATAGGCTTGGGCTTGGTTCACGGGAGTCTAGATGTGTGCGTCAGGAGCGCCCCCTGGGAATCTTGAGATGCACTAGTGGACTGTGTGGTGCCTGTCACGTTCTGCAATCAGGAACGCTGCGGCATCTCGCTTAGATCTGTGCTGCAACGGCGCCTGTTCTGCTGCCTGAAAGCCGTGCCTCGCCCAACCCGACCCTGAACCCTGAACCCTGAACCCTGAACCCTGAACTCGAAGCCTTAAACCCTTTTGCAGCAGGACTCCTCGCCACTGAAACCCTAAACCCTAAACCCTAAACCCTAGACCCTAGACCCTAGACCCTAGACCCTCGACCCTAAACCCTAACCCTAAACCCAACACCACACAAGAGCCACCTTGACTGCCCAAAATGGAGGATCGGCCAGCGGCACCTGGCTGAGGCTTCTGGACCGTCCGCGCGGAGCTGCTTGCTTTGGGTCTTCGGTGTTGGGATCACGCCCCCTAAACCCTACTTGGAGGTTCAGGGCACCTAGAACCCCACCTGTGACTGCGCTTATAAGCCCCCAAGAGTCCTGTGCATGAATAGAAGTAGACTTATATTTTGGGTGACAAGTACCCATGAACGGCCAAGCAGAGAGCCCATGTGGGTCACCCCTAAACTAAACCCCAACCCCTAAACCCTAAACCCTGAAGGCCCTAAACCCTGAAGCCTTAAACCTGAAACCTCAAACCCTATGCGTGCCCGAAACCGAAAAGGCCTGTGGTTCGCCGCAAAATTTTGTCCTCGATTGCGCTTGCCTAAGGCAGCAGCTGGTTGCTGCGAAAGTTTCTACGGGCGCCAACTCTACGCCGCTACGCCGCTACGCCACATTTCTCTTCCTGGACCGAGGAGAAGAGCCGATGCAGGTACATGGGTGCCCGAAACCCGAAACCCTATTCCTAAGCTCTAGACCCTAAATCCTAAGCTCTAAAGCCCTGAACGGCTTGTCGTAGCTCTATGAGCACCGGCTCGTCTCTTGAGCTGAACCATCCTGCAGCATAAGGCAGGGGGCGAGCTAACCTGCTTTTCAGCCAGCTCGCTTCCTTTTGCAGCTGTCTGCTTCCAGAGCTGCCAGCGCACGTTCACAGGACCCGCTGAGGCAGATCAGGCTGTGAAGATTCAAGTGAGCCGCTCAGCATCCGCAGGTCACAAGATCTTAGGTAAGTTGCAACTTCGAGACTTGGCATGGCATGAAGGCATGAAGGCATGTAGCGGCAAGCAAACCGGGTAGGTCACCCGTGGTTCCGAGTACCCCTGGCACCTGAAGGCCCTAAGGGTTGTCCGTCGCTTAGCCAACACTGTACATGTCACTCTGAAGGGAGTTTAAGCTTTAGGGTTTAGGGTTCTAGGGCACCTGACGACAAGAAACATAAGAAGTCGTCTCTGCTTAGGGGCTGACCCTTAGGGCAGATCATGTAAGAGCCCCACCTCGCCCCCTTCCCCAGATGCAAGCCAGGTGCGTTGTCATCATCTGCAGTCTGATCTTCGGCCGGCACTTCACCTTCAGCACTTCACTGTTGGGCTGCCAGAGAATTGCACCTGCCTGCGTTTAATCCAAACAGCTTTCTGTTCGCCGACGCCGATGTAAGGCCAGCGCTTTCCTCACCATCCTCGTCCTGGCAGGAACCAGAACAACACAGTTAGACGAGCAACGGGAATAACCAAACGACAGCACTGGTAGCTGCTGCGCGCGTGCTCACCGGAGCTTGATCCCTGAAAAGTAGCGCATCACAAGTCTTGCCCTTCATCGGCTTGCCTTGGGCTTCTTGTGGCCAATCAAGTCCTGACCGCTGTGTTCCGAGCCCTACTTGGTCATGAGCTTCTTTTCTCGACTCTAGATTCGTGTGCGAAATTGTGGACCCCCACAAAGAGCCCACAAATGCCCGCCATTGCCCTTCCCTCAAACGAATCTGATCTGTTCTTTGCTGTAGTAGGCCTCGGGGATTCGGCCACCCCGCTCGCGAACTCTTCTCAGCCTGCAACATTGCAACGCATGACGGGCCTCGCAAGCAGCGACGCTCTGTCCCGGTAGGCTGTTTACAAACCCCACAACTCGAACCGTAAAATCCAAGAGACTCCACTCCTTGAATCGGGAGCTCTCTTCCAGCCCCTAGAACTCATTGTTTCTACTTCCTTGTACTGAGCGGACAATCCTGAACTTGGGATGTTCCCCCTTTTACTGCCACTCCCTTAATAGGGATTCTAATAGGGATGGGTACTGTAATCCCTAGCAAGGACTGTTCGTTTTCGGGGGAACAGCCCACTCCTGGAGAATGACTTACGGCTTATGGGGGCTCTTCCCGCCCCAGGGCCTGCTGGAGACTCTGGGATCCCCCTTGAAGCCACATGGGTGGCTATCACTGAGGCAACATAAAGGCCCCAAAGATGATTCTGACGAAGGAAACCCATCATGTCCGCACCCTAAACCCTAAACCCTAAACCCTAAACCCTAAACCCTAAACCCTGAACCCTAACCCTAATCCCTAGTATAATCTACCCATGACCCTCCAAGCAAAAGCCACGAAGCTGGGCCTGCTCTTGAGCAGCAGCGGCATGATCACCTCGGGGCTGCATGTTTGGTGACACCGCCCCCAAAAGGCCCAAGTCGCCATAAAGCACAACTGGGGTTTCTTAGAGCTTCGGGCGTAGGGAAGATACCCGGAACCTATATCTCGGGCCCTTATGACGGACGAAGGTCTGTCGATATGTTCCTGGATCCCGGGGGGTTTTTGGGCTTCCAAGCCCAAGATGCCAGATGTAGCCTGCTTCAATACACCATGCTGGGGGCCCTTCTCTCCCAAACCCCTAAACCCTAAACCCTAAACCCTAAACCCTAAACCCTAAACCCTAAACCCACACCCTGGTTCTCAAGTCTGGTCCACTAGGCACTAAGGGCTTTGGGGCCTTGAGGGTTTAGGGCCTGCAGACTTTAGGGCCTTGCTAGCTTAGTTGTCCGGTATCCTGGGGAACTAAAGGTTAACCTTTGGGATGATGAAGGGAACAGAGTACCCCCAAAGAAAGGTTCAAGGCTACCTACTCTACTACTTGGGTTAGGGAGGTCCTGATCCTAGAGCCGGGCCGCTGAATCAAAGTCCTGCGGGTACAGCTGCAGGAGCTGTCGGGTCTGGACCTGGGTGCGAACGCCATGTTCTTCGACATTGGGTTTAGGGTTTAGGGTTTCCTCCTATGGGTAGTTCTCTGCTAGGGTCCCGTTTTTGGGTCCCCTACTAGAATCACAATACAGAAAGGGCGAAAACTTGTGTGTTCGGGCTGATTGGCAGCCCGCCCAGCTGTCTTTGCCGCGGTAGCCCTTTTGGCATATGCTATATCCGGAGATCTGCTGGGGCGAACCTGCTTGTTGAGAGTTCCACACTCTCACACATGCTATCGCACATGTACGCTCCACATGCCTCACCTTTGTGGGGTCTGAGTCGCCCACGACCCCTTCAGCTTCTAGCGCCTGAAGAGTTCGCGAGATCACCTCGCAGACCAAAGAAGGCACGGGGCTTTGCATTCCTTCGTGGTGCAAAGCCTTGCCCAGCCTCTTCTGATACATCATGCCCAATTTCCTCAACCAGATCCTGAAGCACAACATGCGTCTACACAGGGTTGTGCGGCACCCCCAGCGGTGCAAAGCCAAAGCGTGCAGCTGGCACAAACTGGCCAGTCCATGTCCCGAAACTCGAGACTCTGCTTGTGTCAGCACAGGGCGCGTAAAAATTTGTGAGTGGAACATCCCACACGTCCTTCACCAGCACAGGGCCTGGGGGCGCAGTGCACTGCGCCTCGCCAGACACTGCGCTTCCATCATAGACGATCAGCGCATCGTCCTGGCCATCTCAAAGGCAGAATGCGGTTGGGAGAGCTCCCATCATAGGGGAGACAGGGCTCTATGATTCGGCGCGTCCTCGTCGTCCAGCACGTCTGCTGCTCTACTCCACACCTACGGCGCAGGAGCTGCTATGGTTCGGGGATCAGCAAAGGGATGTAGCAAAAGCACAAGTTCAAGCCCACCTGCAGTATGGCCCACGATCTCAACAGAAGCTGCCCGAGCCACATGAGGTCCTCAGCAAGGCCAACTCAAGAGCATCTACCAGAGCTCGCTCATACCGTATCCAATATAAGGGCCTTAAGAATTCGAATAGGGTTTTGGGGGTTATCAGAGTGTACAACTATAAAGGGACCATAAGGGAATACCATCAGTAGTTATTCCGATCCCTATAGTACTCCGTTGGCCCTAAGCCTTTTTCACCCCCAACCTTCGATCTTAGACCGGGGCCTCAGCGCCCGAAGCCCCCAGTGGCGTGGCATATGGACGGAGCTGGAGCCCGCCGCTTCGTGTGCAAAGCGCTCGACGCAACTGAGGGGTCAGGGTTTAGGGTTTAGGGTTTGGGGTTTAGGGTTCAGGGTTCAGGGTTCAGGGTTTCAGGGTTTCAGGGTTTCAGGGTTTAGGGGTTAGGGATGGGGTTAGGGTTTAGGGTTGTGCGAAGAGCTCTGGAGCTGCCCTACCCGGCCACCCGGAACTTACACGTGGGTCTAAGGCCCTCCGCCCTGCCAAGGGTCTCATGCATGGGTACAAAAGGGGTGCACCTCAACCCTCAACCCTAAACCCTAAACCCTGAACCCTAAACCCTAAACCCTAAACCCTGAACCCTACACCCTAAACCCTAAACCCTAAACCCTAAACCTACCCCTATTTTGGACATGCCCATCTCGGTTTTCGGAATCAGGCGTTGGGATTTCGTGACTCACTTTCGGGCTTACTTTGGGGCTATAAAGCTTCAGGCTTTCGGCTTTCGGCTTTAGGATTTAGGCTTTAGGCTCTAGGGTTTAGACTCTAGGGTTTAGGGTTTAAGGGTGTTGAAGCAAAAATTGAACAACACGGCCGGCTTCGCGTCGGCCCCGCCATCGGCCGGTGTGGCGGAAGAGGTTGGCGACCTGCCCCCTAAAATCTAGGGTTTAGAGTTTAGGGTTTA